CCCCAGCTTTTTGAACATGAAGTGGATCACTCACAGGCTAGCGGTGACTCGGATGTACATGGACACGAAGAATATGGTTCACTCGCGGCCCGCTCATACAGCACCTTGTCAAACCGTCACTACAGAAATCCAAGTTCTGCATAACGGATCCTAAAATGCCATCTTCAGCCAGCTTACGCCACTCTTTTCCTCTTTCTAATAGCCATCTAATTGTTATATGTTGTGTGCTCCGAGAGACTTCAATCGTGCGTCGGGTATGTGACAAGAAAATAGTAATATGCCGCTCTTCTGCCGGGCGTGGCGAGCGTCGCCGCGCCCGGCAGAAGAGTTTTCCTGCCTGGTCAGTCTATGACGTCTACGACGCGACAAATCATGATTCTCTTGTCTGTCTCCCTCTTGCGTCTACGCTGGGGCCTTCAGTTTTTGTGAGGAAAAAATCCCCGGAATGAGTTGGCCCTCCATTATTAGGGAAGAATTGAAATGTGCAAGGGGGGGGGGTCACTCCGATGCAGGTCTCGCGTTGAGAAGAATTCTTGCAAAATGCATTCTCCAATTTTTCACCACCAGTAAAACCCCGTTCCACAACCGATCTTATCAACTTGATCGAATGATCGAAAATGATGATAAACGCGCACCACAGCTAAGGTCTGAGTCGCGTGACCGCGTATCACCGAAGTGTACGATTGATAGGTATCTACTAGTCGAGGAGTCAGTGGTCGATTCGCGGACTATGGATGTTATCTTGCCTTTTCTTGTCCGCTTTGATAACTGTCTGCTTTGCGTCTATACGATTGGAGCGCTGCTGGAACTGTAGCATTATTGCGCGTCGATGCGCGCCATCGCGAAGTCTGAACGCTGCCCTTAGAGTAGCGACCATGTTTATACATCAGCATTTTCCGATGAGGTGTTCACTGTCTAGAGGGAATTGCAACGATGTCACGATTTGCTTTTTCGATGGTAACGTAGCTGAGGGGGGCCTCTATATCCCTCCCTCTGATAGAAGCTCAGGATTAGTGGAGATTATGTCTTCTCTGCCCTCGCCGACTCCTGTTGTCCGCGCCTTTTCGGAAAAGGGCACAGAGGTGCGGCAGTGTTTTCCCTCCATTTTCGTTCGGCGGTGCTAACGTATTTGGGGGGGGGGGGGGTGGGGTGGTGGCGGGGGTGGGTGCCGCGGCTGTCTCCCATGAAAGCCTCTACGCATTTTCGAAATAGTATGCATATTTTCGCAGTCGTTCTTTTCTTGTGTGTCATCTGAACATTGACTAAGAGCTCGATTAATCTATATCTGTTTCCTCACGCGCTAATGGGCCTTTCTATCGTATGAAAACATTTTTCATATAACTTTTTCACATTGGGATCGGGAGGACACAAAGGTTCTATCGAAACTGTTGCATGCTAAAACGCGCGCCGCATTTCTACTCCAATAGGCCGCACTGGGCTCGAAAGTGGTTTTGACCCGCTTTCAAAGCAGCTCTTTCAAAGGGTCGCCGAGCTGGATTATAACTTTGTGGCGTTCCGCGCCGGAGTGAGGGGTACGTTGCAAGAGTAATTCGTTAATCCCCCGCGCTCAAAGGCTGTCGCGTAGGCAACGGAGCGGTCGGCGCACTAGTTCAATTGAAGGACGAGTGGTTGTGGGTGTGTATTCGCTCGAGAGAACGAGTGCAGTGTAGTGAGCCGAGGGAAGGATATGGTGAGGAGCTTAAAATGTGTACCGATGGTCCTTGGTCTCATGAGAGTCTGAAAGCTCGCTCCCAAATTCAAGGGAAGGTAGGTGCAGAACTGAAACATCGCGCTCGTATTTGCCGCGCGCGATTGTAAGGCGGGCGTATTTACGCGGCCTCTTGCCCGTCTTCCTGATTGGCCAGTCTGCTCTGGTAGCATGGGATTACGTTCATTAAAGTCGACTTTTCGTCCGAACTCGTCTTTTTTCAAGCCCTGAAAGTAGCCTGAAGCTCTTAATCTTAGTTTACCCGCCCCGAGTGCCTTATTCGCTTAGACCAGTTGCGACACCCCTCTGAAGCTCCCAAGTAGAATAGCATTCCCAGCAAATGATCCCATCTTCCGCGGCTCCACCAGCGTCGCATCCCACTCGGTGCTAACCTAGTTGAGCTGAGCTACGGCGACACGGTGACGAGAGAATCGTAATTCACCGCGCTGGTATGCGTCGCGTGCGACGTCGCGCCCGCAAATGACGATGGTTCCAGGTAGTAGATGGCGACAACAGGCAATTCAGAACCGAAAATAGTCATGAATGTCTACGATGACGGGGTCTACATGAAGTCCGGTGCTCCAATCGACAGGTTAACACGAGTTAAGAAAACGCCGCGCCCATCGCCGCGCGCGGTGGAGCGGCAAATTACGATTCTCTTGCCCGTCTCCCGAGCTACGCAGCAGCGCCTCTGCGCCCCTTCCCCCAATGGAGACTTGGCTACAGGGTGCGTTCATACGTTTTGAGCAAGAAAAACCAGCCATCAAAAAATTTTCTCAGCCCAAATGTGACCCCCCTCCCATCTTCTCCCAGCGACCAAGTACGACACCCCTGCTAGGGAATCCCCAACAACGATGCGCTCTGAAGCCGAGACCTGCTGGGGGACGAGACGCAGAGGCGCTTTGGAGAGGTCTCCGTCTCGGGATATTCGTCAACCGCCGAGCCACCATCCCATTTTCCTCGTCCTTCTTCTTCCTTCCTTCCTTCCTTTCTTCTTCTCTAATCTTCCTCCCTGCAAATGCTCCACCACGAGATTTGCTAGGAAAATACCTTTAGTCTCTCGCAGCAAGGGAATATCCGGTAGACAGATCTCCTGTACCTAAACACGTCAGGAGCAAATCGTCTTTTCTGCAATTACGTACACCTTGCGAAGAGTTAAGATAGTGGTCTATGAGGTGAGTGTTCACCTCATTGACCACTATCTTAATAAGGCGCACATCATAGAGAACTGGGCCAAGTAGTCGTCGTCTCACCCATACGGAGATAATAATCTACTATGCGCTTTTATGACTAGGGGAGGAGATGCTAAATAAAGGCATTTTTTTATTTTCTTCTCAGTTGAGTCAGTTTTTCCTATGGGAATCGATAACTTTTGTTCCACCAAGGTATTGATTTGAGTGATTAATTGATGAGAGTGTGTTTGTTGACCTAGTTCTACTTTTAGGGACAAATCTCCCGAGTAAACGCGCTCTATCGCACTCGGCCATCGATTTCTAAACAGTTTCCTCTGTTGAATCATAACTGGTTCTTCCTGGCTACTAATTGATGACTTTCTGGGCTTTTTCTCACTTCGACATCTACTTCTTTTAGTATATACTAGAATAACTGGTTTCTGCCTTGCATCTGTCGTTTCTCGTCCGCTTTTTCCTCCATTTTTGATCCTTTTCATTGAGATTTGTTCACAGCCTTATTTTATCGTTTAATTTTCCTCATATTCAATAATATTATTTCAAGGGGTGATGAGCACTCCAAACTACTCGAAAAAGGATGGAGTGCCTGAAGAAACGGCGGCGGTGACCGAAATGGCTACTCAGCAAGAGCAACAACCACAAGAAGTTCCTTCAACCTTCTGCATGGATGTAAAAGTTACAAAAGTATTTTTTCAGCTGTTTCCTATTTAGAAGCATGATAAAAAATTTATTACTTTTTTCTAAGGATTCCGGGAAGAGATCACCATCACCGTCAACGGTTTCGCTGAAGAGTTTGCCCAAAACGCCACCGCCATCCGCTGAAAATAATGCGAACATCCAGCAAACCGTTCCCAAGCAGCCACCTCACCTCGATCAGTTGTTGGAACAGTTTCTTACGTATGAATCTAGTCTTTCGATGACCGACTACATCAAACGATTCTATGTGAGTTTTTTCTTTTTGGTTGTGATAGTTACTGTTTTTATTTGATTTCACGGTTTATTAGCAGCTGCAAAATTACGTTACAAGAGCATAAAATGAGCAGTTCCGCGAGGGAGGGGGCATTTTCCATTTTTGCCACTTCACATCGTCGTGTGGAGCCATCTAGTAGAGATCTGTTAAATCCTGGAAACAACGAAATGTTACCAACCAGAGTTTTGAAATGACTTGTCTGGTGTTGTAAAAAAACTGTCAACTCTTGTAAAGCCATGAAATACCATGCAAATACCATTTACCATCATGGCTCGACAAGCTTGCTCCAGCTTCACAAGAGTTCACAGGTATCACCCAAAGAAACCTTTGTAAACCGGAATCTGTGTCGCAGCGAAGGCGCAGAATGCCCCCCACCCCCCTCCTATCCCACTGTAGCCGAACTGCTCCTAGCCAAAGTATTAAATAAGAAAGAGAAAAACGGAAACAATTTCTCGATAGGTGAAAACAGGGCAGTTTGGGGCGAAGCCTGCTGGTAGTGGTAGAACAGCTGTCGGTTTAAGGCTTTTGGATTTGTATTAGTCGTAAATTATTTGCAAATTTTGTGTTTGAAACCTGAAAGTAGTCTAAAGTAAAGCTCTGCATCGTTTCGAAGCGCCGGCATATTTTTAGTCCTGCTTAAAAGGCGGCTCGTATAAAAAAAAGGATCAGCAGGCAATGCCTCAGGCTACACTCCAGTAAAAAGAACATGTGGTGGGCGACATTCATTTGCAGGGGGGCTGTGTTTCAGAAATTTCGCTTTTGCGATACTATTTTTGCTTTATTTTCCTAGAACAAACGTTCAAGCCCTGAAATTTTATTTTAATTTTCACAGTTCTTAATCGTAAAGCAACCGATTTTGTTTTCATCCTTAGGAGTCGACAAGTTTCATGATCATGATGTGCTCTAATGGATTTTACATTTTAACCTTCCATTATATTGTCCCATTCGCTTGAGACCTTTCACCGCTTTTCCGCTAGGCTAATGGTGAAGTAGAAGTGTTCCAGCTGTTTCCTGGCTCCTTCCTCCCACGGCAAAAATCCTTACTTCTTGGTTGGCCAGCGATCTTTCTTCTTCTTCTCTTCTTCTTCTCAGCGATCCTTTGCACAAATCCCCACTTTTGCTTGTGATAAAGAGAATTCTTTTCCCCTCATGTGAAATCATGAAAAAGCGCCAGAGAAATCGTTGCGAAAGGCTTTCGCTTTGAAATACGGAGGTAATGTCTTTTGCTATGAAACTTCTGAGCGCCTCTTTATTTTCACATTTTGGATCCTCATGGGGCTCCGGGTAACTGTAACGAAATTCTCGCTGTTTTGAAGGTTTCGAGTGCTGAAAATGCTCCACCTTAATGGTATAGCGCCTAGATTGACTGTCGCTAAATTGAATATTCCTACATTGCTAGTACAAAAGTTTAATGTTATCCTCGCAGTCTAGGGCGGCTCACGCCCGACCATCACTCTGTGGTTTTCTTTACATCCTTTCTGACTGTTTACCTTGACCTGTTTGGCTATCTTTGGGTGTATTTTAAACACGATGCAACAAATAGCCGGTAATAAAACCATTAGGAGGTCAATAGCATTGCTCATCTCTTAGTCTTACAGAATTTTGTGAAATTGATTTTTATCGAGAACAAGCGTGCTTTCTGGATGTTCACCCAAAAATAGCCAAGGTCCAGTGATTTTTCTGATACACATATTTTTGCATATCACTGTATGCATACCAACTTTACGTGCATGTATTTCCTTGAATATGAAACAGCGAAAATGAAAAAAATATAAAAGAATAGGAATAATAACCTCTCATAAAAAATATCTTTCGAGCTATAAAAACCAACCTCTGAAACTCTACATTTTCAGCAAATTCGACTAGAACAAGAGGCGCTTCGTAACGATCCTGAGCTGTCGGTGAAATGTGCTTCAGAAAGTGTTCATGTGATGCGTAACCGATACAGGGACATTCTGCCTTGTTAGTTTCCTTACAAGTATTATTTTTATTCCATGTTCCTTCTTTCAGTATTCTTGCTATTTTATTTTCTGATGATTTTATTTTTAAGATCCAGCTAGGGAGTAAGTAGTTAGTCGGAGGGTAAATCATTTATTCTTATTATAGCTAACCAAAGCATGTTGCTCTGAAATTCGAAAATATGATAAGACTCAACAATAATAATAAGCACGTTTATACACTACTTGGCGAAAAGCGTGGGAGTTTGGAATTCTACTTGGAGAATCCTTGAGTTCAGTTTATCACTCAATGCGCTCGTGACGCCAATAGCTCATCGGATTGCCCGGAACACGCGCTTAGCAGCTGATCTCCTAGCTCATGACGACCTCCAGTAGTTTCCTCGGATCTTGCCTTTTCTGTGCAGTCAAACTGCAACTATTGGAATTTCGCGCGATAGTTTAGATTCACTAATTTGTTATCTTAAAAGTTTTTTTCTCATTGGGCTTCTCAGCAAGCTTGCGAAAGTACCCTCAATGTGTACGGCTTCTGTTTTCATCTAGTGGACAGGCGAAATACCATAATCTGACTCCTATTTTCGTTTCGATACCGCGTCAACAACCCGGGTCCATTTATGCTAAGTCGCTGCTGTTGTGGCAGGGTTTTTGCACAAGTCCGCTCTGTGTTTGAGGAAGTTTAGTTACCCCGAGGGCCATGAAGGTTAGAGTACAGCTAAAAAGAATGTAACAACAGTAGTATTCCGTGCGAAAATTGTGGGACGGTGGGGTGAAATTTGGCGATTGTGTAGGGATGATCGTATATCATAACCCATAACTCAGCGCGAGAGAACTCAAGGAGCAGAATTGCGCTGTACTGTGGCACCTATGCCGCCACAATGCTAAATCGGAGATTTTGGGAAAGCAGTTGAGCCTTTGCGTTTGACGTACATGTTGAGGAAAAGATTGTGCTGACGATTAATGAATAGGATGCTAATTTCGGTGTTCTTGGAGAGAAACGAGGCGTCCATTCACCCGGAAGCTACCTTACTCCCTAGGAGGGTTGGTGCTATCTCAATAAGATAGAGCAGAAGTGATTCGTACCCTCCTTCCCTCCTTCCGAGCACTTTTCCTCCGCAGAATTGGGCGGAAATCCTTATCACTTGATAACTGATCCTTTCCTCGCATCCTATCCCATCTTTTTATATAGTAAACGGAAGTATTCGTTATGATTCGGACATGCGAAACGTAAACTAAACTACCTCTTTGAACCTCGCTCTTAATACGTCTGCGGCGACGCCGTTTCGCCATAAACTCCCATTTATCAAGCGGCGGGCGACGACGGTAAAACAACTTCTTGTTGATTTCAGCAAAACCTCCCCGTTTCGGTTTTTTGTGGAATTTTTTTACATTTCGTTCTTAAGGCAAGTTTCATGCAATTTTTTAGTGTACAGAATGGGTTTTGTACCATTTGCGGTTGATTGGAATCGGATGGGGAAGATTTTTACTGAAAATTATGTATAAACAGTAATGTACATAATGCACAAACAAAACTTCAAACATTTTTATGGGTTTCCTTGCAATTTTTTTGCCGTGTTACTCCAAAATTTCTCCCTTTTACTTTCGAAAAAAATTTGTTTCGATGAGAAAGCTGATTTGTATGATGAGTCTCAAATAGACTTTCTCATAGCAATCATTTTTTCAAAAAACACAATAAGCCTTGGTGGCGGTATTTGTTTTATTTGCATTATTACTTCCATACAGGTTCTCGTGAAAAGGGAGAAAGTCGCAAGAAAACAAGCGAAAAGGCGCGCGTACTTCTAGGAGTCGTGGAGAAATTTTTTTTGCGTGTTTCTCCGGGATACACGCTTCTTCAAATGTATTAATATTATTTATCGGTTGTATATTGTTATCCTTTGTGTCGGTTGTCAGTAGAAAAATCAGCGGAAAAATCATCCACTAAAAAACGACCGCCGCAAAGGCGCGCTGTACTCACGGATGAGTACGCGCCGCGCCATGATGCGTGTAAAAAGTTTCCATTCAATATTCCTATTCAGTTTTGGTAGGTTTTAAAAAGCTCGCTTAAAACCAGAAGCATCGCAGTAACCTACCTTGCATGCTTACATGTAAAATACGCCCAAATTATTGGTAAAGAAATACTCTAATTCGCTGCGAATCTGCCCGGATGCATCATGTTCAGTCAGCCGTTATCCTACATTAAGTATTAGCAGCTCGCAAACGAAAATACGGGCACGCTGGTTAGTCGGATTAGTCAGCAAGTGGGAGCCGGCTTAGTGGGCGATCAACCATATGATACTCAGGGAAGCCTTTACAGACCATCTAATTTTGCGTAATACTGTAGCCAAAATTACTCACTTGCACCAGCTCGTAGCTCCACAAGAGTTCACCAGAGTGTCCCGAAGTGCCAGACCTACTAGTCAACTTCAGCTAACTAGAAGGCATTATAGCAGAATGCTTCATGGCTCCTGCTTCCCCACCCCTCTTTAATCGAGCATCCGACTTATAGGATACAGGACAGCATCCTTATCAGTAAAGATTGAAGCAGGGTTTTGGTGGCGTGTATTTTTTTAAATAGTCCTGGCTATTCTACATATCATTTTAGATGATCGAAATCGAGTTGTTCTATCGCCGTCGGATGATAATCCTAACGGCTACATCAACGCATCGTTCGTCAGTCTTCCAAAAGGACGTATGCGTTTCATCGCTGCACAGGCCCCTTTACCTGTCACGCTTGAGGAATGGTTAGTCGTTTTGTGCTGTTTTTTCTGAGTGGCCATGATATATCAAGACACCTGGTGGTAGTAGTGCTGGAGGTAGCTATGCACGCAGCGAGATTAGGTGGCGCTCACTTAGGCAGCGTTCAGACTTCGCGACGGCAGCGCTTCGGTCGCGCGTTCGACGCGATCGATGCAGTCGAAAGCATGCGCATCGATCGCGTCGAACGCGCGACCGAAGCGCTGCCGTCGCGAAGTCTGAACGGTGCCTTAGGTCGTATGCGCTCTGCAAGGCGACCTTCAAAGACGTACGGTATCCTATCATAGTGTACCGTGATGCCCAACCGACTGAGAAGGAGTGGAGAACTGCCGAACAGAAAGGAAAGGAAAAAGGTAGTAAGTCATTTGAGGTGTGACTGGATTGAATGGTGCCTACGTTGTATGTTTGCGCTGAACTAAAACTGAGCCCGGGCATCAGTACCCCGGTGAAAGACAGTCGAACAAGTTTAGTTGCGTTTCCCATGTCCCCTCCTTCTAAATTGGCACTAGAAGCTGACCCCTACCAACATTGCTCAAATGCACATCCTTCATTATGTCGCAGAACTCCGTAGCATTGAAAGTTCTTCGATTCTGCGGTGCTGTGCTGGGAGTGTAACTCAGCCCATCTAAGGCCCAGTATCGCGCACAAACTGGCGAAGTATTTCTTGGCTGGTTGGTCGCATTAAAGACACTCCCCGCCTTGGTTCGATGTACAAACGTCTTTTTTGGCGATGGTGTGAAGACTGGACGAGTTCTCACTTGTTGGAGGCGTTTTAGTATGGGATTCTATAATGGTGCTAATAATAATAATTGGGTTTAAGTTCGAAATGACGCATCTCGTTCAGGCTTTTTCTGGTTCCTTCCTCGCTTTTGTATTACTTACCATCATGTACTAGGTCTACGTTGAAAGGGTTGGGTTTTGATGAGAACGGAACCGTTTGCAACGCTTCTCACCCGCGCTTCGGGTGTGCTGAGCTATACCCCTATGCTGGTATCGCCATCTACTAGTAAGATGTTGAAGTAGAGAGTGTTAGAAACTACTTCACGATCACCATCACCGTCAACGGTTTCGCTGAAGAGTTTGCCCAAAACGCCACCGCCATCCGCTGAAAATAATGCGAACATCCAGCAAACCGTTCCCAAGCAGCCACCTCACCTCGATCAGTTGTTGGAACAGTTTCTTACGTATGAATCTAGTCTTTCGATGACCGACTACATCAAACGATTCTATGTGAGTTTTTTTCTTTTTGGTGTGATAGCTTACAATGTTTTTATTTGATTTCACCGTTTGATTAGCAGCTGCCCAAAATTTATTTACAAGAGCATAAAATGCAGCAGTCGCGAGGGAGGAGGCGTGCTTTCCATTTTTGCCATTTTGGACACACGTCTCGTCGTGAGCCATCTAGTAGAGATCTGTTAAATCCTGGAAACGACGAAATGTTACCAACCAGTTTTGAAATGGATTGTCAAGTTTTGTAACCTGTCAACTCTTGTAAAGCCATGAAATACCCTGCAAATACCATTTAATATCATGGCTCACAAACTTGCTCCAGCTTCACGAGAGTTCACAGGTATCACCAAAGAAAACCTTGTAAACGGAATCTGTGTCGCGAGTGGAGGCGCCAGAATGCCCCCACCACCCCCTCCTATTCCCATGTAGCCGAACTGAGCTCCTACTAAAGTATTAAAATAAACAAAGAGAAAAACGGAAACAATTTCTCGATAGGTGAAAACAGGGCAGTTTGGGGCGAAGCCTGCTGGTAGTGGTAGAACAGCTGTCGGTTTAAGGCTTTTGGATTTGTATTAGTCGTAAATTATTTCGCAAATTTTGTAGTTTTGAAACCTGAAAGTAGTCTAGTAAATGCTGGTGAAGCGCCGGCATATTTTTAGTCCTGCTTAAATGGCAGCTCGTATAAAAAAAAGGATCAGCAGGCAATGCCTCAGGCTACACTCCAGTAAAAAGAACATGTGGTGGGCGACATTCATTTGCAGGGAGGGCTGTGTTTCAGAAATTTCGCTTTTGCGATACTATTTTTGCTTTATTTTCCTAGAACAAACGTTCAAGCCCTGAAATTTTATTTTAATTTTCACAGTTCTTAATCGTAAAGCAACCGATTTTGTTTTCATCCTTAGGAGTCGACAAGTTTCATGATCATGATGTGCTCTAATGGATTTTACATTTTAACCTTCCATTATATTGTCCCATTCGCTTGAGACCTTTCACCCCTTTTCCGCTAGGCTAATGGTGAAGTAGAAGTGTTCCAGCTGTTTCCTGGCTCCTTCCTCCCACGGCAAAAATCCTTACTTCTTGGTTGGCCAGCGATCTTCTTCTTCTTCTCTTCTTCTTCTCAGCGATCCTTTGCACAAATCCCCACTTTTGCTTGTGATAAAGAGAATTCTTTTCCCCTCATGTGAAATCATGAAAAAGCGCCAGAGAAATCGTTGCGAAATGCTTCGCCTTTGAAATTACCGGAGGTTAATGTCTTTTGCTTATGAAACTTCTAGCGCCTCTTGATGGTTTTCACCTTTTATCCTCATGGGGCTCCGGGTAACTGCTAACGAAATTCTCGCTGTTTTGAAGGTTTCGAGTGCTGAAAATGCTCCACCTTAATGGTATAGCGCCTAGATTGACTGTCGCTAAATTGAATATTCCTACATTGCTAGTACAAAAGTTTAATGTTATCCTCGCAGTCTAGGGCGGCTCACGCCCGACCATCACTCTGTGGTTTTCTTTACATCCTTTCTGACTGTTTACCTTGACCTGTTTGGCTATCTTTGGGTGTATTTTGAACACGATGCAACAAATAGCCGGTAATAAAACCATTAGGAGGTCAATAGCATTGCTCATCTCTTAGTCTTACAGAATTTTGTGAAATTGATTTTTATCGAGAACAAGCGTGCTTTCTGGATGTTCACCCAAAAATAGCCAAGGTCCAGTGATTTTTCTGATACACATATTTTTGCATATCACTGTATGCATACCAACTTTACGTGCATGTATTTCCTTGAATATGAAACAGCGAAAATGAAAAAAATATAAAAGAATAGGAATAATAACCTCTCATAAAAATATCTTTCGAGCTATAAAAACCAACCTCTGAAACTCTACATTTTCAGCAAATTCGACTAGAACAAGAGGCGCTTCGTAACGATCCTGAGCTGTCGGTGAAATGTGCCTCAGAAAGTGTTCATGTGATGCGTAACCGATACAGGGACATTCTGCCTTGTTAGTTTCCTTACAAGTATTATTTTTATTCCATGTTCCTTCTTTCAGTATTCTTGCTATTTTATTTTCTGATGATTTTATTTTTAAGATCCAGCTAGGGAGTAAGTAGTTAGTCGGAGGGTAAATCATTTATTCTTATTATAGCTAACCAAAGCATGTTGCTCTGAAATTCGAAAATATGATAAGACTCAACAATAATAATAAGCACGTTTTGATCATACTTGACTGCGAAAAGCGCTGGGAGGTTTGGAATCTTTACTGGAGAATCTAGGAGTTCAGCTTTATCAGTCAATGCGCTCGTCTCGCGACGCCAATAGCTCATCGGATTGCCCGGAACGCGCGCTTGGCAGCTGATCTCCTAGTTCATGAGCGACTTTCCAGTAGTGTTCCTCGGAATCTTTGCCTTTAAGTGTGCAGTCTTCAAACTGCACCATTGGAATTTCGGATTAGTTTGGATTATTCATGAATTATTATCTTAAAAGTATTTCTATGCTTCTCAGCAAGGCTTGCGAAAGTACCTCAATGTGTACAGCGCTTCTCGTTTTCATCTAGTTGGACAGGCGAGATCACCATAATCTGAACTCTATTTCGTTTTCGATACGCGTCAACAACCGGTCCATTCTATTGCTTAGTCGCTGCTGTTGCGGATCTGTGCAGGGGTTTTTGCAATCAAGTCCACCCTGTGTTTGAGGAGACAGTTTAGTCTACCCAAGGGCATGGAAGGTTGGAGCTAGAGCTAAAAAGAATGTTAACAGCGAGTAGTATTCGATGCCAAGATTGTGGGACGCTGGGGTAAAATTTGGCGATTGTGCTAGGGATGATCGTATATCATAACCCATAAACTCAGCGCGAGAGAACTCAAGGAGCAGAAATGCGCTGTACTAGTGTGGCACCTATGCCAGGGCACAATGTATAATCGGAGCTTTTGGAAAGCGAGTTTGAGCCTTTGATTTGACGTACATGTTGAGGAAAAGATTGTGCTGACGATTAATGAATAGGGTGCTAATTTCGGTGTTCTTAGAGATAAACGAGGACCCGGAAGCACCCGGAAGCTACCTTACTCCCTAGGAGGGTTGGCGCTATTTCAATAAGATAGAGCAGAAATGATTCGTACCCTCCTTTCCTCCTTCCGAGCACTTTCCCTCTGTAGAATTGGACGGAAATCCTTATCACTTGATAACTGATCGTTTCCTCGCATCCTATCCCATCTTTTTATATAGTAAACGGAAGTATTCGTTATGATTCGGACATGCGAAACGTAAACTGAACTACCTCTTTGAACCTCGCTCCTTTGACACGTTTGCGGCGACGCCGTTTCGCCATTAACTCCCATTTATCAAGCGGCGGGCAAAGACGGTAAAACAACTTCTGTTGATTTTCACGCAAAAATCTCCCGTGTCGTGTTTTCTTAGTGAATTTTTTACATTCGTTTTAAGGCAATTTCATGCAATTTTTTGAGGTACAGAATGGTTTGTACCATTTGCGATTGACTGGAAACGGAATGGGAAAATTTTTGGCACTATTTACCCTTTACTGCCCCAGTCATCCGAAATCAGGCCAGTTCCTGACCGACTTTTTTCTCCGTGGGCAGATTTTGCTCAAATGTTGTCTCCTGGGGTAGTTTGACCTCCAGAATACGAATATCACATTCGCTCAGCCCGAAACTTCCTGGCGCCCGCGCCACAGGCGCCAATGATTTGGGGTATTTTGGCGCCGGTGCCCGTGGTGCGGGCGCCAGAGGGTTTCGGGTTGAGCGGATGTGATATTCGTGTTTATGGGGTCAAACTAACCCTGGGAGCAATTTTCAGCGAATTTGGTGATTTCGAGTATTTTGGCGCCGGCGTCCATGGCGCGGGCGGCCAGGAGGTTTCGGGTCAAGCGGATGCGATATTCGTGTTCAGCGGGTCGAACTACCCCTGGAGCCAAGTTTTCAGCAAATTCTGCCCACGGAGAAAAAAGTCGGTCAGGAACTGGCCTGATTTCGGATGGCTGGGGCAGTAAAGGGTAAATAGTGCCAAGATTTTTACTGAAAATTATGTATAATCAGTAATGTACATAATGCACAAACAAAACTTCAAACATTTTTATGGGTTTCCTTGCAATTTTTTTTTTGCCGTGTTACTCCAAAATTTCTCACTTTTACTTTCGAAAAAATTGTTTCGATGAGAAAGCTGATTTGTATGATGAGTCTCAAATAGACTTTCTCATAGCAATCATTTTTTTTCAAAAAACACAATAAGCCTTGGTGGCTGATATTTGTTTTATTGCATATAATTACTTCCATACAGTTCTCGTGGAAAAGGGAGAAAGTCGCCAAGAAGCAGAGCCGAAAAGGCGCGCGCGCACTTCTAGGAGTCGTGGAGAAATTTTTTTGCGTGTTTCTCCGGGATACACGCTTCTTCAAATGTATTAATATTATTTATCGGTTGTATATTGTTATCTTTTGTGTCCGGTTGTCAGTGAAAAAAGCGAAAAAATCCACTAAAAACGAGCGAAAAGGCGCGTGTACTCCCGAGAGTACACGCCGCCTTGAACGTGTTAAAAAGTTTTCCATTCAATATCTATTTCTGTTTGGTAGTTTAAAAAGTCCTTAAAACCACCCAACATTCGCAGTAACCTACGCTTGGATGCTCCGTTAGCATTGAAATACGCCACTTATTGGGAAAAACTCTAATTTCATGCGAATCTGCCATGATCATAGTTCAGTCGGTTTCCTACATTCAGTTATTAGCAGCTGCAAACGAAAATCGCACGCTGTAGTGGTTAGTCAGAGTGGCGAGTTCCGGCTTAGTGGGGGAACCAAATGATACTCAGGGAAGCCTTTACAGACCACCTAATTTTGCGTAATACTGTAACCAAAATGACTCACTTGCACCAGTTCGTAGCTCCACAAGAGTTTCACAAGTGTCACCGAAGTGAGACCTACTAGTCAACTTCAGCTAACTAAAGGATTATACGCAAAAACGCCTCATGCTCCCCCCCCCCCTTCTTTTTTTTAATTCGAGCAGCACCCTATCGATACCAGGACAGCACGCCTAGTCGCAGTTCTGATTATGTGATACAGTTGCAGGCTACTGTGACTTTTTTAAAACCAGTCGGATCGCCCGCCTTCGGCGGGCGATCCTCCTTATGCGTGTGAAGTGGGTCCCCGGCCATCCAAACTGAGGCCCAGTCGGATCGCCCGCCTTCGGCGGGCGATCCTCCTTATGCGTGTGAAGTGGGTCCCCGGCCATCCAAACTGAGGGCCCAGTCGGATCGCCCGCCTTCGGCGGGCGATCCTCCTTATGCGTGTGAAGTGGGTCCCCGGCCATCCAAACTGAGGCCCAGTCGGATCGCCGCCTTCGGCGGGCGATCCTCCTTATGCGTGTGAAGTGGGTCCCCGGCCATCCAAACTGAGGGCCCAGTCGGATCGCCCGCCTTCGGCGGGCGATCCTCCTTATGCGTGTGAAGTGGGTCCCCGGCCATCCAAACTGAGGCCCAGTCGGATCGCCCGCCTTCGGCGGGCGATCCTCCTTATGCGTGTGAAGTGGGTCCCCGGCCATCCAAACTGAGGGCCAGTCGGATCGCCCGCCTTCGGCGGGCGATCCTCCTTATGCGTGTGAAGTGGGTCCCCGGCCATCCAAACTGAGGCCCAGTCGGATCGCCCGCCTTCGGCGGGCGATCCTCCTTATGCGTGTGAAGTGGGTCCCCGGCCATCCAAACTGAGGGCCAGTCGGATCGCCCGCCTTCGGCGGGCGATCCTCCTTATGCGTGTGAAGTGGGTCCCCGGCCATCCAAACTGAGGCCCAGTCGGATCGCCCGCCTTCGGCGGGCGATCCTCCTTATGCGTGTGAAGTGGGTCCCCGGCCATCCAAACTGAGGCCCAGTCGGATCGCCCGCCTTCGGCGGGCGATCCTCCTTATGCGTGTGAAGTGGGTCCCCGGCCATCCAAACTGAGGCCAGTCGGATCGCCCGCCTTCGGCGGGCGATCCTCCTTATGCGTGTGAAGTGGGTCCCCGGCCATCCAAACTGAGGGCCAGTCGGATCGCCCGCCTTCGGCGGGCGATCCTCCTTATGCGTGTGAAGTGGGTCCCCGGCCATCCAAACTGAGGGCCAGTCGGATCGCCCGCCTTCGGCGGGCGATCCTCCTTATGCGTGTGAAGTGGGTCCCCGGCCATCCAAACTGAGGCCCAGTCGGATCGCCCGCCTTCGGCGGGCGATCCTCCTTATGCGTGTGAAGTGGGTCCCCGGCCATCCAAACTGAGGGCCAGTCGGATCGCCCGCCTTCGGCGGGCGATCCTCCTTATGCGTGTGAAGTGGGTCCCCGGCCATCCAAACTGAGGGCCAGTCGGATCGCCCGGGCGGGCGATCCTCCTTATGCGTGTGAAGTGGGTCCCCGGCCATCCAAACTGAGGGCCAGTCGGATCGCCCGCCTTCGGCGGGCGATCCTCCTTATGCGTGTGAAGTGGGTCCCCGGCCATCCAAACTGAGGCCAGTCGGATCGCCCGCCTTCGGCGGGCGATCCTCCTTATGCGTGTGAAGTGGGTCCCCGGCCATCCAAACTGAGGCCCAGTCGGATCGCCCGCCTTCGGCGGGCGATCCTCCTTATGCGTGTGAAGTGGGTCCCCGGCCATCCAAACTGAGGCCCAGTCGGATCGCCCGCCTTCGGCGGGCGATCCTCCTTATGCGTGTGAAGTGGGTCCCCGGCCATCCAAACTGAGGCCCAGTCGGATCGCCCGCCTTCGGCGGGCGATCCTCCTTATGCGTGTGAAGTGGGTCCCCGGCCATCCAAACTGAGGCCCAGTCGGATCGCCCGCCTTCGGCGGGCGATCCTCCTTATGCGTGTGAAGTGGGTCCCCGGCCATCCAAACTGAGGGCCAGTCGGATCGCCCGCCTTCGGCGGGCGATCCTCCTTATGCGTGTGAAGTGGGTCCCCGGCCATCCAAACTGAGGGCCAGTCGGATCGCCCGCCTTCGGCGGGCGATCCTCCTTATGCGTGTGAAGTGGGTCCCCGGCCATCCAAACTGAGGCCCAGTCGGATCGCCCGCCTTCGCTACAGAAAATTTTTTTTGCAATTCCAGAACATTACCGTTTCACATTTGGTATATACCCCCCCTAGTGGACGGTTGTGAAATTTTCGTAAAGGAGAGGGGTGGAATGCCGGTACTGGATGCTTAGTGGATGAACTGAAGTGGAAGTATATGGGTATTTGAGTTGGTGTAGAATGAATAGCAGGTAAATAAACAAATAAATACATGCTAAAAATTGGTAGTAGGTTATGAATTTTCGATTATGACCTCACATTCACTGCTACTCTAATTTGCCTTGCGACTATATTATGAACTTTTGCAGCAGGCGTCGCCGACTCGGCGCACATCTCATTCGCTGGTTCTCTTCACTTATGTTACCCCTCCCTCGCCCAACCCCCTTCCATAGAATGCAGCCCGCATGAATTTTTTGTAACAAAATGCGAGTCGATCACAGGGCGCGTCTTCATTCGAATACTGCTCGCCCAAAATGCTTTAAGTTCTAGCGTAGCAACTGCTCATCTGCCCAATGTTCACAGGGTCAGCATCTGCATTGTATACAATGTCGTGAATCGTATGATAACACAACCATGTTATTACCAAGAATACTGATGGAGAAAAGTGATTTTTGCTTCACACGTCCCATTTCAAGTATGCCTTCTTCCATTCAACCTCGACCGACTTCTTACTCCACGTTTTCCCGCTGCTCGGGTAGTTCCGGGTTCGAACTTCGAAATTTTTACTTGGTCCCCGCCTACCCAGACAAACGCCCGCTTACTGCAATCTGCCGGGCTCTCTCCAACGCCCAGTTCGGATGTGCCTCCTTCTGTTTATCTACCTGCCCACTTTTTACTCGAGTCCGTTTTCCCGCTGCCGAGCAGTTCCGGGTCTGAATTTTGAAGATTTGCGTTAGGCCCCGCCCGCCCGAACAAACGCCCCGCTCACTTCGGGTATGCCCCCACGCCCATTGTGGGTGTAGTCTAACGTGGTGCATAGATAATGATTTTGTCCCCGCTCCCTGTGATCTTCAGGAGGAATTTACGAATTTTTGTCGTTGGCACTACTCACTTCGGCGCACGCCCCGTCTATCGTGTGCGAGGCTTGGTTTGTGTGTATTCGGTATATTTCCGACATGCTATTTCAACATGCCCTCACCCCCATCCCAATGTTGACGGCGTTCAAGAGTTTTGTTGACGTTTTCAAGAGACACCGCTCACTCAGTTCAATATAGGCCCCGCCCAACTGTGGCGCGAGGCTATTCTCTATTGGTCGACAAACGCCGACAGACAATTCTGCTTATATATAGAGCTATAGTCCTGGTATTCTACATATCATTTTAGATGATCGAAATCGAGTTGTTCTATCGCCGTCGGATGATAATCCTAACGGCTACATCAACGCATCGTTCGTCAGTCTTCCAAAAGGACGTATGCGTTTCATCGCTGCACAGGCCCCTTTACCTGTCACGCTTGAGGAATGGTTAGTCGTTTTGTGCTGTTTTTTCTGAGTGGCTATGATATATCAAGACACCTGGTGGTAGTAGTGCAGGAGGGGAGCTATGCACGCAGCGAGGCTACGTGGCGCTCCCTTAGGTTGCGTGCGTTCTGCAAGGTGATCTTTAAAGACCTATGGATTTCTATCTTGGTGTACCATGATGCCCAACCGTCTGAGAAGGGGTGGAGAACCGCCGACAGAAAGGAAAGGAAAAAGCAGGCAGTCATTTAGGGAGGAAGCATGTGACGAGTATAGATTGCGCCTTTCCGGTACGTTTGTGCTAACCTAAAGCTGAGCCCGGGAAGCAGTTCTTCTGTGAAAGACTGACGAACAAGTTTAGTTGCGCTTCCTGTGTCCCCTCTTATTAAGCTGGGCACTAGAAGCTGACTCCTAACAACATTGCTCAATGCACACCCTTCATTATGTCGCAGAACTCCGTAGCATTGGAAGTTCTTCGATTCTGCGGTGCTGTGCTGGGAGTGTAATTCAGCCCATCTAAGGCCCAGTATCGCGTCAAAGTGGCGAAGTGTTTCTTGGCTGGTTGGTCGCATTAGAGACCGCTCCGTCTTGGTTTGATGTACAAACATCTTTTTTGGCGATGGTGTGAAGACTGGACGAGTTCTCACTTGTTGGACGCGTTTTAGTATTAGGTTCTATAATGGTTCTAATGATAACAATTGGGATTTCAAGTTCGAAATGACGCACCTCATGCAGGCTTTTTCTTGTTCTTTCTTTGCTTTTTTACTTACCACCGTGTATTGGGGCCTACGTTGAACACTGGATTTTGATGCGAAACGGCGTAATTTGGAACGCTTCTTTCCCGCGCTTCGGATGTGGTGAGCTGTACCCCTGTGCTGGTATCACCAGCTAGTAGGTGGTTGAAGTAGAGAATGATAGAAACTACTTCAGTTGATTTCATTATCATTTCTCAATAAATGTTGTAGGTGGAAAATGGTCGATGAGCAGAAAGTTGTACTCGTTGTTATGCTTTGTAAACTGGTTGAAATGAATAAGGTGT